CACGCAATTATAATTAAGGGTTTGTGTGTGTATACACAGTAGTATACAGGTGGAACTCGAAAAATTAAAATATTCAACTTAAAAGGTGACACTAATATATTATATAGACTTATTACATGCAAAGTGAGATATTTCAAGCCTTTATTTGTTATCATTTTGATGATTATGGCTTACAGCTTATGTAAAACTTTCACAATATTCTAATTTTGAATTTTGGGTTTTCATAAAATAAGTCATAATCATTCAAATTATAGCAACTAAGGACTTGAAATATCTCACTTTGCATGTAATGAGACTATATAATATATTAGTTTCATAAGTTGAATTACTGAAATAAACTTTAGCACGATAATCTAATTTTTCGAGTTTCACCTGTTTTCAAGTTTGGTTTTTTTTTTTTTTATTCAAAATTTGTTAAAGATTTTTTAAGTATATTGCAGAGTCAATAGTTATTTGTTACAAATATTAGTTATTTGTGATAACACATCATTTTTGTCCAGGCTGTCATAAAAATAAATTATGAAAGCATGCAGAAAGACAGAAGCAATGAAATATTAATAACCAATTATGTTGTAGACTATACGTGTGTGTGTGTGTGTGTTTGTTCAAATTATATCAAATGAATCAATTAATATTTTAATGATTATGTAATAGTTTAATTATGTTAATTTTAGGTAATGGTTGAGATATAATTTGAGATATATGTTTGCCTCCATTTAAACAGCCCAGTTTTTTCCATTTAAATAACCCTGATTTTTGAGAAGGTTTAAGCTATAATTAAATAACATTATAGTTATAAATATTTTATAGTGCTGTCAAATTGATTAATCGAATTTAAAATAAAAGTTTGTTTTTATGGAATATATGTGTGTTTATTTTATATATAAGTGTGTGTGTGTGTGTGTGTGTGTGTATTTGATATATAAATGAATATAAACATACATACACAAACTTTTATGTTAGATGTGAGACTCACTAAGATATTATAATTAGTATATATATATATTTAATAACAAGTGTGGGTTAGATTAGATTTTCATGCTTTTAAATAAATGAATAACATCAATTTAAAGTGATAATGTTTAAATACTATTATTTTATAATAATAAAGAATCAAGTTGCATTTAATGGTCAGAATTTGAGATTATATTTTTTCACCACAAGAGGGAGCTTCAGCCTCGAAGAGCCAATCAGGCTGATTTGCTTGGCCAATAAGTGTGATATTTGTAAGGTTTGTTAACATAAATGAATACGTATATATTAATGAATACGTTAATATTAATAATGCATTCCATTGTTTTCGCTTAGAAAACGCCTAAAAAATGCGTAATTGCATCATATTGGCTCAACATCTTGCAGGACATTATAAGAGCAGTTTAGTGTGTGTGTGTGTGTGTGTGTGTGTGTGTGTGTGTGTGTGTGTGTGTGTGTGTGTGTGTGTGTGTGTGTGTGTGTGTGTGTGTGTGTGTGTGTGTGTGTGTGTGTGTGTGTGTGTGTGTGTGTGGCTGTGTGTGATTCATCATGGCAGAGGCTCTGAAAGAGAACTTGGACCCATTCTGTCTTTTTGACTGTGTAACGTCAGAGACTTGATCTATTGGGTTTAAATATAGCCTCGATTGTTCCTCAGCTATTTCTGTTCTGAGTGGGGATGTGTTGCTTGTTTGTTCGGGTTGCTTTGGAAACACAGAGAGGACAGGACAGCATGCGGCTCGTATTCGTCACTGGGCTCCGGTCCACCCAGAACACACACTAATGTCTGCATGGGATCAAAGGCAAATGTGATTTGTGATCTTTTCCGTCCTGAAACAAATAAACTGTCCGTTTGCAAACTGGGATCCGGGGAAAAGTCTTGAGAAAAAAAACAGTAACTAATTGTAAGTAATTGTTTGGATTCAATAATTGTTCTCTTCATATTCGGCATGTGTTTGCTGGATCCATGCCTAACTTCTGATCTTACCCCTTTTTTCCCTAGGCTATATGTTAAATTGTACAACTGTATTCTGGGATGTTTGGAATTTTGTAATATGTGGACAAACCTATAAATAAAGTGAGGAGACAAAAAAAGAAGAAAAAATAAATACAATTCCGGATTGTTGCAACCCATGTTTGAGTATAGGCTATCAAAACATTTTATTTTTTATTTTTTTATTTTTTAGAAATGCAGCCTTTGTGTTCTCGTGAACAAAGTTGTAAGCAGACAGGGATAGATAATATCATATATTATAATATTGTATATTATAAACTTAAATATTATTACAATTTTACTCTTGGCTTTTCCACAGACATATATTTATTTTAATCTCTAAAAATTATTAAAAAACATGTATCATATTTTAATTTAACATTCAATCATTTATTTATTTTACTCTAATTGGTTTACTTTTCTCTCTAGACGTTTAAGCAAATTTATAAATAAGAATTCAATTTGACGGCAAATATGGACAAACCCAACCATTGGTTTAAATGTTTTTATTCATTTTGAAACCCAACAGTTGGGATCGCCCATATTTGACCCAAACATGAGTTGAAACAACCCAGCATTTTTAGAGAGATTAAAATAAATAAATAAATAAATAAATAAGTGATTAAATTACCATATGATAAAACATACAAAAATAAACAATACAATTAAAATAATAGGTAAATAAACAAATTTGATCAGTTTACTATTTATAAATTTGTTTAAACGTCTAGAGAGAAAAAATAAAAATAAAATAATTAGAGTAAAATAAATAAATAATTGAATGTTAAATTGTCATTTAATAAAAATGTAATAATTTTTAGAGATTAAAATAAATATAGGTACGTATGTGGAAAAGCCTAAAACAGTAAACACGTGAATATTTAAGTTATATTTTTATAATATACAATATTATACATTATAAAATCTAATATGAATATGATATAACCTATCTGCTTGTAACTGTTGTTCACGAGAACACAAAGCATGCATTTCTACCAATATTTTCACGAACTACCTTGTAATAGGTAGGCCTACTAATGTTAACTAATGACACCTAATAGTAATGAGGATAAGGGTTCCTCACACGAGGATATTGTGAAGCGTTTGGAAACTCCAGCTGTCTTCACCAGTGTTCACACACAGCCTTGCCAATGTTCACCTATTCAAGTGCATTCAACATTTACAACTCTCAGTTGAAGCTGACGTCAGTCTACGTCACTCCCTTCACATTAAAGGGTTAGTTCACCCAAAAATGAAAATTCTGTCAGTATTTACTCACCCTCATGTTGTTCCAACCCCGTAAGACCTTCGTTCATCTTCGGAAAACGAATTAAGATATTTAAGATATTAAAATCGCTCCTGCATACAGTCCATAGGCTTCTTGAGGGACTGGCTCTTGCCGTCCCCGAAAAGTCATAAAAGACATCGTTAAAATAGTCCAAGTGACTACAGGGGCTCAATCTTAAGTTTATCAAACGACGAGAACACTTTTGTGCGCAAAAAAACAACAAAAATAACGACTTTATTTCAACTATTCGTTTATTTCTCCCTCTGCGCGAGTCAGCTAACTAGTTTAATAGCGTAAGCTTCTGTTATTAATTCTGCTATGAGTAATTCGTGTACAGCAGAGGCATGTCTTAATTGCTCACAGCAGTGTGTTGTGTATAGTGAGCCTACGTGTGACGTAGCTCTACGCAATCACACTACGTTAACGGACTATAGGCTTATGGAGAAGGAAGTGAATAGTTGAAATAAAGTCGTTATTTTTGTTGTTTTTTTGCGCACAAAAGTGTTCTCGTCGTTTGATAAACTTAAGATTGAGCCCCTGTAGTCACTTGGACTATTTTAACGATGTCTTCAATTACTTTTCGAGGACAGCAAGAGCCAGTCCCTCAAGAAGCCTATGGACTGTATGCAGGAGCGATTTTAATATCTTAAATATCTTAATTTGTGTTCCGAAGATGAACGAAGGTCTTACGGGGTTGGAACAACATGAGGGTGAGTAAATACTGACAGAATTTTCATTTTTGGGTGAACTAACCCTTTAACAGACTTATGTTACATGAGCAGTGTTGGGGAAAGGTATTTTAAAAGTAATGCATTACAATGTTGCGTTACTCCCTGAAAAAGTGACTTATGTTACTTTTTATGAGAAGTAATGCGTTACATTACTTTTGCGTTACTTTTTCTCACCTGGGCAGTTAGGCTAAGTCTTTTTAAGTCTTTCAGTGAAGTCTTTTTCTCAATTTAATATAGTTAAAGTTTTGCGTTAAATGGTGAGATTGCATTTTACTGTTTTTATTCATTTTGAGGAATACTGTGAGAAGTAAATGCATGTTCACATTATAACTAAAATAACTATCACAGCGCACAACCACCTAACTTTATTTCTCTCAATGTGTCAGTCAATAAATGTGAAAAAGTAATAGCGTTAGCCTACTTATTTCAAAAAGTAACGAAGACATTTTTATATTAGGCATTTAGCAAACGCATAAATTAGATAAATTTATACAAAGCGACTTAGCCTACAAATTAAGACTAAATTAAAGCGAGTCATCATGAGGCAAAAACGACGCAAGAAAGTGCTCAAAATACAAAAAGCATTACTCGTATTTGCATAAACCAGCGAAGTGAGGATTAATGGAAAAGGAAAATTATATCAAGGTAATATCTGCGTCTTCCCTTCGTGTAGCTAAACGGGGCATGAAAATGAGCCCAGCAAACAAATTTAGGTTCTGTGAACGTTCCGAGAACGTTAGTTTTTGGTTCCCAGAACGTTCTTAGAACTTTCCCTTATGGTTAGGGGAACGTTCCCGGAACATTCTCCTTACGTTAGAAAAATGGAACCTATGGAACGTTCCTAGCTATTACGTTCTTGTTTGGTTCCCAAAAAAATAACCTCATGGGACCATTTGGGAACGTTAGGGCCGGGGGAACGTTCTGTGTTTGCTGGGAGAGTATGCAGATGTGTCTGGGTGTGAGGGGAGGGTTGAGGGGAGGGGAGGGGGTGGTGTTAAAAATGTCCATCCAAGTAAACTCAGTGGACCGAGAGACACAGAGTTGTGTTGCAGTGAGTGACAGAGCTGATCTACAGCTGACAAGAAGAACAAACGCTTTCCTCTCCTCGAAGCGATGGAAGTGATTCTCACCAGATTGAGAGACTTCTCCTGTAGGGAAAGCAGTTTCGATGAGTGTACAGCCTCCGGGATGTGCCGGGATCATTCCTCATCTCTGCAGCCGACGCGTGCGGAGGGGGACCGGGACATCGAGACGGCACTGGCCTGGCTGAGGAAAGAGCTGGTAGGGTTTTATTAAAACATCCTACTATCATAGTAGCCTATCTATCAGTCATTTATGAGGATAAAAATGCTGCCTTCTGCAAGGGGATCCGGAGGACCTCAAGAAAATACACAAGTTTTCCAATTTTTTCAGTTCAGTCTTTTGTCATATTGGCAATAGAGTTCATTTTGATTTCAACCTCTTTGAAAAATAATCCATAAGCTTTTCACACCAATTTATAAATTCTTAAAACTTCAGAATTATTTATTTATTATTTATTATTAACTCTTAAATATTTGAATTATTATAGTTATTATATAATTTCATAATGACTAATAAATGTACTGTTTATCTGTATTATATATATTATATATAATATAATAGTTAATAATAGATACTGTGTATATAGGCCCATCTCTGAAGACTGGAGTAATGATGCTGAAAATTCAGCTTTGATCACAGGAATAAATTACACGTTACTATAAATTCACATAGAAAACTATTATTTAAAATTGTAAAAAATACTTCACATTATTACTGTATTTCTTTTTCTTTTTTTTAATAAATGCAGCCTTGGTGAACAAACTTAAACATTTTTTTTTCAAAAAACTCTTTCTGACCCTACACTTTTTAACAGTCTTAAAATGTGTCTTTTTCTCTGTTGTTGTTTCAAACACCGTTACTCCTCACGAATAAAAACACATAGAGTTGTGCTGTGACGTCGCTTGGCATTTACAGCATCGTCATGGCAACGTTACACAAACGACACCAGAAACCCTTTAACACGAGCTCATTTTATGTGTTCATCACTTCAGCGCTTCTGTGATTTAAATCATGAAGGGTGTTCTTCTTGTTGCAATTCACTGACATTTTTTCACACACAAGTTTTTTTGTTTGTTTAGACCATATTTAGATGACTGACTAAATGTCACTCATGTTGTTCTTTGATAAGAATTGATATTTGGTTGTATAAAAAATGAATTATGGAATTGAACATTTGACAGTCAACTCCTATTGATATTCCAGTTTTTTCTCATCCATTAAATGATCTAGTGATACCAAGGTTTACATTAATGCTCTAATCCCATTTCACTTGAAGTGGGCTCTGCCAAGATATGGTGCAAAAAAGTCTGCCTATATATAAGTTTTTGTTTATAAAATTTATTAGCAATTTCACACAAGCAAAAGTGCTGTTTTCCCAAATATCAGCATGTTTTCAAATGTGGGTTATAGGCTAGGCTACAACAATCCAATAAATAATAAGTTAATGGCTATAATTAGCATGACACAATATTGTCTGTTTTCCTCTATTTTGCCTACAAAAATAGTTCAAAAGTCGAGCCATTAAGCGACTCTGAGCAACAATTTCAGTTTTGTTACTGAATGAATCTGCATTTTTGAATGAATCTTCTAATGAATGACTCACTCACTCTCCATGACTCACTGACTCACTCACTGACTCCATTCAGCTGTTGAATCAATGCAAGGATAAGAACTTAATCAGCAGAAACACCTTCACCTGATGTTATATGAACATGTGAATAGAACTATAATATGTGTGCATTATTATTTTGTATATATATATATATATATATATATATATATATATATATATATATATATAGGGCCTATAAATACACATAAGCATGTATTTAAGAAATATTTGCAGGTATACTATATATATATAAATTAGGGCTGTGCAAAAATTAATTGCAATTAATCGCATCCAAAATAAAAGTCTGTGTTTACATAATATATATAAACACACACACATGCATGTATATTTTTAAGAAAATGTGTTATTCATATATAACATATTTATATGTATATATAGATTATGTATTTATATATATACAGAATTTAAGCATGCATGCACAGGTATTTATATATACAAAATAATTATAAACAGCACACACAAATATATTATGTAAACACAGACTTTTATTTTGGATGCGATTAATCGCAATTCATTTTTGCACAGCCCTAATATAAATTTATTCTGGAGTATACAAAATTACAATGTCTCACATATAGCCTATATACAAATGCTTTTTGATGCACTCACGTAAAAATAAATAAAGCATAAAAACAAGTAAAAATCGTTCCTCATCTTTATAGATGGAGATGCGCTCTCAGGACCAGGCTCTGACACGGCAGCTGATGGATCTCCATGACGGCATTCAGGAGCTGAAGCAGGAGTGTGTGAAAGCCATAGAAGAGGAGGAGGAGGAGGAAGCTTGTTGGGACTCTGGTAGTGTCAGTGGAGGGAGCAGTGTGTCTTCCTTCTCAGGAGAGATGTGTTTTTACCCCTCCATCTCCTCCTTCAGCTCATGTTTGAGCCCTGCTCCTCTATTCCTGCAGGAACGGGCCTTTAGTCGACGCAGCTCCGTGCCCTGAAACCTCACGTGTGTTTGATTAATACACCAATACATATTTTAAATTGCCGCTGAGTCTCTCAGAAGAACAAATGACGCATTCCTTACGTGAGAAGTTTCCTACTGTTTTATTGGTTTTATAAAAAATTTGAACATTGTGCAAAAGTTCATTTATTTCAGTCAATATATTATAGGCTCATTACGTTACATGCAAAGTGAGATATTTCAAGTCTTTATTTGTTATAATTTTGATGATTATGGTATCTTGTGAAAACTCCAAATTGTGAAAGGTTTCCATATCTGTAAGCCATAATCATCAAAATTATTACAAATAAAGGCTTGAAATATCTCACTTTGCATGTAATGAGTCTATATAATCTATTAGTTTCACATTTTATGTTGATTTACTGAAATAAATGAACTTTTGCACAATATTCAAATTTTTCGAGTTTCATCTGTATGAACGCAGCTGCCTGGTGTGCAGAACATATCACTGTAAAAAATAAACCGTAATTTTTACGGTAAAAGAAAACATGAATGGTTTTACAGACTTACCTTAAAAGCTTATGAAATTTAAAAAATGCAATAAACATTTATTTAACAACATTAAATGTAACATAAATCCCTAATGTACATAACTGATTAGAAAAAGAAAAAAAAAAGAAAACGATGAAGAAACAAGTTATTTCAACAAAAATACATCAAATGTGAAGAGTCACGCAGGGAATTGTAGGAATGTCAATTTAAAATTTTTCACTGTTAAATTTAATGGTATTTTACAGTAAGATTACATTAAATGTACTATCATTTACCAGATATAGCAAGGAAACTTTGTTAACCAACGTTAACGTTTTTTTTTTTTTACGCCTTTTACCGTTAAAATCATGAACATTTTTTACAGTGAGTGAAAAACAAAACAGATTTTGAATGTTTTAAGAAATTTGTAAGAAACTTGACAAAGTCTTTGGTGATTGACTGCTGTAATTGAATGCACTAACGCAATAATCTACCGAGGACGTTTCTGTTTCACGTAAACGCTTATAAATTATATCTGTTCACAAATTACTGAAAAGTGCCTCTTCAAACTAAGTGCATAAATGTTGCATGATGTTTTTATGACAATGCAGCAAAAACTGTTGCCTGAATTATATTTTTAGTATTTATGGCATGGAATATTTTCTTATTTTTATCAAGATGTGAATATGTATTCACTGTTAATTCAATTC